TGCCCAGGCGGGTCTCGAACCCACGGGCTCAAGCAATCCACTCACCTCAGCCTCCCAAGGCGCAGAATTACAGGCTGAGCCACCGAGCCCAGCTGCTTCCTACATTTTTGAGTCACCTCTTCTGTTTATTGAGATGGAGAAACCCTAAAATACCCAGCACGGCATTTGTGAGAAGTTAGTTTCATTCTAAGAGTAACTTGGGTCTGATTTATAATGCTGGTTATGAATTTTAATGATGTGAGAGAGAAGAACTACATCCATTGGCCAACACCGTTTCCAAGCCTCAGTTTCCTCGTCTGAAAAATGCAACTAGCACAGTAGCAGGCTCCCAGGGTTAGGATGAGGAATCACAAGTCACACGGCAGAGCCTGGGGCACTAAACCCTGTGACCGGCTCAGGCTGGCCCACACTGTCTCCACTGGGATGCTCTGCCGAGCTCCAGATGGACCACCTTACCTGGAGTGCACCTCCCACAATTTCTGGTTCATTCGATAGTCCCACACAGAGACCAGGCCTTCCTCGCCTCCACTGACGATCTTCCAGTCATCCATCTGGACAGCAGAGACCCCGAGCTGGTGGGCGGAGAGTGACAGGGCGACTTGATCGGTGCGGAGGTCATGGATTCTCACCCTAGAAGACCCAAGAAGAGCAGAGAAGGGGACATGGAACTGGAGTTAAGGTTGGGAACTGTGAATTCCTCTTCAGCCGTGCTGGGCTGTGTACAGCATTCTTAGGCAAGTCTCCTTTGGTTGCAAATGCCTGTAATGATGACATCAAACTTATATTTCCTAATTAGTACACTGTCAGAGAGTACCCACAGCCATTTCATCACAATGATTTGAAGCACATGGAACAAGACAGACGCAGGACAAGGATGTCAGCCGCCCTGTTTCCCACGCTATCTGCTCATCGGGGAAAGATACCCATACCTGAGTCATTCAGAAGGAAGCTGAGATGCGACTGGCTTTGTGACCCCACATGGAGGTCGGCCTGACCCAATGGTAAGTTCACTGCCCAGCACAGTAATTTCGCTGGTGGTAAAATAATCAATCTGTTAAGGGCCTTCAAGGGGGCTTTACCTCTCATGCTAGACACTGCCATGATGTTTACAACACCAGAACTTAGTTTTGAAGCTGGACACGCACCTTCTACACCCTCCCACATGATATGTATGCTCTGCTTTTTAATTTTAAGAATCATACCTTCATCTGTTTCATAGGTCATGTGAAGTAAAACAGGATATACAGTCTTAGAACACAGAGCACAGAGCGTCCACTCTCCCTGCCAGGCCATGTAACTGACGAAGCGACAGAGGTGCCTCAAGAGGGGTCTGCTGCCGCAAATGCCATTCAGTTCCCAACTTTCCAGTGAGGGATCTGGACCAGAAAGATGCAAGAAGATGAAGTGTACTCTGGAAACAAAGGTCTCTCTCTGTTAGTCAGAAACACCTGCCTTTGGGCATCTGCAAGTAAGAGACAAGGCTGTCTGGGCAGAAAGAGAGGAGACCGTACATGCTGTAAAAGTCCTTGGCCTTCAGGCCACAAGGGGGACTTGAAAAGGATGAGGTGGGGCAGACATGTTTAGCCCAAGTACTTTTCAGTACATATTTGGTTAATAAGAGTCTATTTTGCCCTGGCGATTTCCATAAAGAGCGCCTCTGTTGAATATTTATACTCCATAATTTACAGTTTGGCTGTTAAGGAGACAAAGGCAAACACAAATTTGGTCCAGAAGTTCAAAGTTTGCCATCTGTTTTCCTATTGTATTTAGATACCAGCATGGGTGGCTCCAAACAAAATAAACAAATACACCAAAAGATACAGCACTAGTGTATTTTATATCACTAAGGAAAACAAACATAGGCCAAAACAGCCTTGAACTTCTCGTCCCAGGAAAAAAGGAAAAGCATTTTTCTGACATCTAACAGAAGCACCACTCTGGCTTCTTGTTGCCAGACAGAAACAGCAGACGCTGCAGTGTGCTAAGTCCACACGAGCCATTCTCATGCACATAAGGAAACAGGTATCTGCTTCGGACATCTGACAGTGTACAGCACCGAACCGAAATTCAGTGTGCCTTGGCAAGTCCGTCAGCTCTTCACTCAAACCAAACACTCGATGCTGGGTAACAGGTAGCACAGTAAATGGGCACCAAAATATGCCAAGGCGACTGATTCCAGGGACAAAAAGAAGCCAATGGTAGATACTGTGAATCTCTATCTAGCGAGTATTTCATCAACTTTGCCTGTTGAAAAGAAAAATAATTGGTCTGAAAGCTGTAATTGTATTATGTTTAATATTCATGGTTGGGCTTGGAGGACGGTTCCAACACTCCCTCTCTCCAGCCCCACTCTAATGAAAATCACACCATAGGAGTCGGCTCTAGCCCGCCAATTAAAACAAAAGACACCAGAACCTTCCAAAGACTCCAGCAGAGGAGCATCCATCTGATGGGCAGGAAAACGTGCTGGAACTGAGAGGGAGGCACGCTCTGGTTGGTCCTGTGTTAAGAGCTCTGAATCACTTATTATAACACTTGCAGATGGAGCAAATGCAACATTTACGCTCCAATCACTCTCTCTCTAACAGCAGGCAGCAGGACCACAAGCACATCACAACTTTATATTTGTCAGGGCAAGAAGTAAGCGCCGAGACTCTTTAATTGGGGGTCACAACTCAGGCTTGCTTCCTATTGGCTTGGATTAAATAGACCCATATGATAATAAGGCAAACTGTATTTGATGGCAAAGCTGGAGCCTATTCAGTCTCTGGCACGGCAGTTTCATTAAGAAGGACCTGACCTTTAGCTATATTTCTATCCAGAAAATAAAGAGAATGGGCAGTAAGGCATTAAAATGTAGGCCTTTTTAAATGACCAAATTAATCAAAAAAACTAGTATTTTTTAAAAAAAGAAATCAGTAGATGATTCTGTTTGGTCTCACTGAACCTGGGCTATTAAAGAGAATTTTAAATTATAATCTTATATACCAGAATCAATAGCTTTATCTACACAGCACTGATGACGGTCTTTGGTGAAGAATTCATTTTGAGCAATAACTGGAAAAAGTTGTATTTTCAGGTAGAACTGTCCAGTTTAATCCAACTAGACTAAGCTTACTGCTCTCTGTATTTTAACCCTGTATTTCTCAAGTTTAGAGTTCTCTGTATATAGAACAAAAAATCAATATGTCAAGAGTAACAAGCCCTTGAGACCAGTCACTGAACCCTTCTGGACTCAGTTTCCTCAGCTGGGCCAGCATTCGATGGGCTTGAAGAACTCTGCTAAACTGAAAATTCTGGGATCCATGACAAACCCGTCCTGTGGACAATGATGATAATGAATATAATTCCAAAAAATACAAGGCACATAATCCCTAGCTGAAAACACTACAACTTTTAGTTAATTTTAATATTTTAAATTGTAATCATATGAATTATTTCATACATCCATACTGTACATAGATTCCAACACAAGTTTTTTACTTTCACATACAATGATTCTGTTCAACATGCCTGACATTTTGCAGTTTACTATATATTAGTAAAAAAGGGATGGGATATCTTTATCAAAAGCTATAGACAATCAAGACAGTGCAGTACTGGCAAAACACAGACATATAGATCAATGGAACAGCATTGAGAGTCCAGAATAAACCCTCAAATGTATAATCAATTGATTTTATATTTTTTCTTTTAAAAATAATATTTGGATTATTACAGTTATAAACCTATACTCTATTTTTTCCTCGAGCTTTAAATTTATTTATTTATTATTTTAAAGATGTAGGGTACAATTCAGGATTAGATATACAAGTGATCATCGTACAGGTAAAGTTTGGGCCTCCCTCCAGTCCCCACTTTGCCTGGTTTGTGATCAGGTACCCTTATTGATGTTGTGTGTCCCCCACTCCCCTAACCCTGGCAGTATCCCACTACTGCCAAGGTCAACTGATTTTCCAACAATGGTGCCAAGACAATCTCATGGGGAAAGTATGGTCTTTCTGGCAGATGATGCTAGGACAACTCAATAGCCACATGCAAAAGAAGGAAGTTAGACCTCTGCCTCACACCATAGACAAAAGTTAACTACAAATGACTCACAGTCCTCAGTGTAAGAGTCCAAACTATAAAATCCTTTGAAGAAAACACAGGAGTAAATCTTTGTAACCCTGGGTTAGGAAGGTTTCTTAGATATGACAAAAACAGAAGAAAAAAACAGATAAACTTCATCAAAATTAAAACTTGTGTGCTTCAAAGGCCACTATCATGAAAGTAAAAAGAAAACCCACAGAATGGGAGAAGATATTTGCAAATTACATATCTGATAGAGATTTTTATCAGAATTTATAAAGAAAATGCTACCAACTATAAAAAGACAACCAAATTTAAAAATGGGCCAAGGATTTGGATAGACATCTCTTGTCAAAAGGAGATGTACAAATGGGCAATAAGCACATGAAAGGACCTGGTTTGACACCAAGAGTCATCAGGGAAATGCAAATTTATAATCAGAGACAACAGCAAGTGTTGGTGAGGATGCGGAGAAACAGGAGCCCTCAATCCAGTACTGGTAGAGATATAAATGGGGCAGCCACTTTAGAAGAGTCTGGTAATTCCTCCAATGGTTAAACACAGATTTACTACATAATCCAGGAATTTCACTCCCAGATACATATACTCAAGAGAATTGAAAACATATTTCCACACCAAAGCCTATGCATGAGTGATAACAGCGAGATTATGCAAAATAGCCAAAAGGTGGGAATAACCCAAGAGTCTGCCAAATAACGAAGGGCTACACAAAATGTGGCATACCATACAGAGGAACAGTATTTGGCCGGAAAAGGAACGATGTGCTGATATCGGCTACGACACAGGCTTATCTTGAAAGCATCATGCTAAGTGGAAGAAGCCAGTTACAAAAGGCCATATATCACAGCATTCCATGTATATGGAATTGAAACAGGCAAATCATAGAAAGTAGATGACTGGCTGCTTAGAGCTAGAGGGGTTAGGTGGAAATGGAGAGTAACTGCCAGTGGGTACAAGATTTCTATTTGAGGTGACACAATGTTCTAAACTTGGCTAAAGCAACTACTGCACAACCTTGTGAGCTTACTAAAAACACTAAACTGTACAACTGGTGAATTACACAGTATGTGAATTTTATCTCAATAAAGTTGTTAAAAAATAAATGAGAATAGGGAAGCAAAAACTGAAATTTGTTAGTTCAATGAATGTTGCCTTAGCAGCCCAATAGCAGCTGGACCCTTGCCCTTAGCACCGACTTTTTTTTTTTTTTTTTTTTTTTTTGAGTTGGAGTCTCACTCTGTCGCCTAGACTGGAGTGCAGTGGCTGCTTCCGGCCACTGCAGCCTCAACCTGCTGGGCTCTGGCGATCCTTCCGCCTCAACCTTCTGAGTAGCCGGAATTACAGGCACGCGCTACCATGCCCGGCTGATTTTTTATTTTATTGTAGAGATGAAGTCTCGCCAAGTTGCCCAGGCGGGTCTCAAACCCGCGGGCTCAGGCAATCCACTCACCTCAGCCTCCCAAAGCGCGGGATTACAGGCTGAGCCACCAAGTCTGGCTAGCACCGACTTTTGATTGATAAGCTTCTCCCTTCTAGAT